TAGGCATAAGTTTAGCTACGGTATTTGTTAAGTAGACCTAGGCCTAGCTTGTCTCCAAGCTAAATTAGTTCAGACCAAGGACATATTGCAATGAATTAGGTCTAGGTTATCTCCTGAAGTTGGCTTCCTTAGTTTTGTAAACTACAGCCTAATTTTTCCCTAAAAGAGCCTCCATCCGTAGAGTTTTTAAGGGGTTAGGAAGGCTAACTTAATTTGTAACCTATTTCCACTTATAAAGTATTTAAATTAGATTACCACCATTCGAGTTATTAACAAAACATATGCTAAATCTCTTTTTTAATACCTTACAATAGGCCTAACGATAATAATTTGTGTAACTTACCTTAGTCCTTAACTCAAGTTAGTCGAATCGCCACTGAAGTTAAAAAGTCGAAGATGTAACGCAAATCTTAAAGAATATAATGTAAAAAGTAACTAATAGACCTAATTAATAAGTAAATAATAACAAAACAACGAATTCTTCACGTGTAACACTGAAAATCAGAAGTAGATGCTCTAGTAGAACAAAAGGGAATTTTGGATTACTTAACTTCTAAACACAGCCACAAGGACAACGTTTGTTGTGAGTTGTGAGACAAAGACATTAAGACAAACAATATGGCGGTGGCGGATCGGATGCTGACCCGCTGACCCCCGCTGTTTTGCTCCCATAATGCATCAGCGAACATCGTCGAACCTATGAAAACGCAGAGACTCGGGTATCTCGCGCGGCAGAATATTTTGTTCATCATCTATGAATATTATAGTACAGTATGTGTTACAAATACATTTTACACAGGATGTTGAAAAAATGCAGGGAAATAAATACAACACACTACAATTTTTTTCGTATTTTTCTATTGATATAAAATACATATATTATCTGTATCATCAATACCTTTACTTATTTTACTGCATTCTCGAAAGTTAATTTATGCCCTCAAAACAACATTTAGGTGAAAATTTACACTTTGTTTCTTCATTTTACAGTATTTTATGCAAAATTTATTTTGGATGAAACCGTATTTTCATATTGGTATATAATATGCATATTATCTGTATCATTAATACAAATACGTTGGTTATACCTTAATCCCGAATATTTACGTATTATATACATTGCTTGCTACATGGGAAGAGACAAAGTACCAGCGGAGTCCGCATGTTGATGCGCTACTCCTGTCTGTGAGGCTTTGTCAGGTCTGCCAACCTTATATACCCAGTCAGTGTTACCAACAGGTTATCATTGGGTGCTATGCTGACTGTTTTCTGCTGAGTACTCATCACTGATAACTAGGATGTGTTATTTTGTTTTTCCATTCACTCACTTTGCTAGTCACATTTCCTTTTAATTGGCAAATTTGTTAGTTTAATTTGAGGAGGTGTTAGTTTATTTAGGAAAGCTGTGGCTGCCTATGATTTTTTTGGTTTTATTATGGATACATGTGACAGATAAAAAAATCATCTCTTATAAAAAAAAGTTTTAGGAGTTGATTGGATTTGAATGACATCAATTTTATCCATAAATTTAATTACGTAAAGCGATTCTTTGCGTCAAAATTGTGGGAGCCTGGAAAGTCGTAGAAAGATGGAAGATGGCTCAAATTAAAGCAGGTCTTTACTCTGTGATGGGAAAAATAGTGGAATACCCTAAATGTTAACAAAAAATTAGATATAAGTGAAATGTTCTACATGAGAATAGCATTGAAAGTCATAAATAATTGATTTTGGTTTACTTCAGTACAGGTCGCCAGAATTCTACCCCCGGAAATTTGTCCCATGAAAAAACGCCTACGTCATATTGACTGGGGGTAGATTTCCAGCAGGGAACTTTTAGGACCGGTAAATTATTATTTATTTCAATCAACACACCTTTCACGGTTTATTTAACAGTTAACTAATCAAAAACCTAATAAACCTGACATTGGAATTTTACCGCCGGAAGTAGGTAACTGCTGGTGTAGGCTACCCAGAAGAATTTTATCATTTTTACTTCAGTATCAAATTATACTGTAGTACTAATTTAGTGATGAGTAAAAAATAAAGATTAAATCTTTTTTCAGATTAAGAAATAGATTAAAACATTTTTAAGAGTTCATTTTTCAAATGGCTTTGTTCCTACTAAGAGGTTTAAATTAATCAAATATGAATAGGCGGTTATTTTCCATCATGCTATCTATTTTGATATATCTAAAATAGTCAACATCGTGTTATGATTTTCTCTGCTTAGGTAAAAAAGATTACTTGCCAAAACTGTAATTTTAACAATCATTTGTATTATTCCATCTAGAGCAGAGTCCAGAGTCATTGTAGAAAAATGAATTCTGGCACAATTACTACACCTATTAACGTATTGTGTATAATTACAACGTTATTGTTTGAAACTTGCCTACTCACAGCCACAGCTTACATAATTGGACAAATGAAAAAGATTTTACCCAGGAATATTTGTAAATAATTATTGTTTTCTTGATTTATTTTATAACTAATTAACACTTGAGGTGGTCCATTCCAAAACTCACATTATCAATTATCCTTATCTTTAAAATTTTCAGGAAATGAAAAAAAAACGTTTCATTAACTATCCTGACAGTAAATTATTATGTTTTGTTTCATCCGAAGTGAAAGATGTGTGTCTTTGTGTATTATTGCATGCCTTTTCGTCCGAATATGTGTAGTTTTTGAGAAAAATAAGTTTTAAGTTTGGATAAAGTAAGTTTTGCCCTGACCCTGACACAAATGGATAAAGTTAGTTTTGCTCTGACGCCTATGGATAAAGTTGGTTTTGGAAAGACATCATACACTAGGATTGCATAACACTAATCAGTTTGGTTTTTAAACAATACAACAAAATATTAAGATAATAGACCTAATAATATGGCCTTAATTAACCTTAATATGTCCTCGTATATTTTTCTAAGTGAGGTGGTACTGGAAAAGTTACAAAATTATAAAAAACAGTTTCATGAATTTTTTATATTTTACAGTAAAAGAATTACCATACAGAAGTACAGGTCATTAGACGTTCTCTAAACTATTGTTAAAATGAAAAGTGAGAAAATTATATGTTAACATCTTTCAAGTTAATTTATTGGTACTTTAAGAGCAAGAGTACCCTTTAAACTACAAAACTGTCATCGTCATCTTGTCTTGAGCAATTGCATCTTTCTTGCTTGCTTGAAAGTGAAGATCTCAGCCACTAGTCAGACGACAGAGCCAAAATGACAACAAAGTCACATGATGACCGAATTCAGGCCACCGATTGGGTAAGAGGATAAAGATGGTTTTGTAAAAACAAATACCCCCGCCGCAGCAAACCTGCAGACTAAGCGAATTTCCATTAGCCTGATTGGATTTACACTAAAAATGCCTCCTTTAAAATATCACATTATTCCCTATTTAAATAGAATTAGTTTAACGAGTACTTAGGTATGCTGCAACAGGGAGGGTAAAAAGTGTTTTTTTATGTTTATAGTATAGTAAGAAATGAATGTATTTTCCAAATTTGATCAAAATATGTTCATAAACAAGCAAACTACAACAGTTGACTTATTCTTGCTTATTCTCCATAAGAATAACAAAGTAATTTAAAATTTACAATTTTTCGGAATTTTTTCTGCAACCATTAGGCGCACAATAACGCTTCAATATACTAAATTATTTGTTTTTTAAGCTCTACGAATTGGTTTTTGGAAAGAAATAGGTAATGAAATCTTGTGTTTTTAGGGCCAAAAATGGGAAAAGCCTATTTTTACCATAAAACCCCCCATAAACCCCCGATCACGTAATCCGATCATGCTGGTTTGCGAACTCGTTCGAATAAATGTAGGTTTACACGTTTATACCAAATTTTGTATACCATTCAAACGTCAAATTGAATTTAAGCAATTTCTAGTTTTATTTTATGAACAGAACTAGGTACTTTTTCGATTAGTAAAAACCTTCGTTCGATTTTTTCATTATCAACAAGTTTGGTTATTTATTTATTCGTACATACGGCAATCGCCATTTTACAAAATATGTTTGATTAAGTATACAGAATATTATGATACATTTTTCTTTCAAAGCCGCATACATGTAATAATAAATACTAGATTCAATAATTTAAGTTGATTCAGTTGCAGGTACGATTAATATGAAACACAAATAACACAAAAATAGAGCATCAAAGACAAAATAGAACAAAGTAAATTTAAGCGCAGTAATAATGCGTGACAACCTACTTGGTTAGGTTATGACAGTTTAATTTTATAATTAAATAATTATCAATTGAATTTGAGGCATTTATAATTTTATTTTATGAACAGAGCCATTTTTTCGATTAGTAAACCTTCATTATAGCATAGATAAAACATACTCCCTTATTACAGCATTGACTATATATACCTGTAGGTATATAGTCAATGATTATAACCAAGTGCTCTCGGTGCTCTCTACTACAGCGCTTTTCACGGAGGAATTTTTAACTAATATGCCTCATTTAGTTTTTATACCCCCCCGTAAGTTAGACAGACAGTCAGACCCGTCGTCTTCGCCCTCTCCACCATCGGTCATTGATTGACATTGACATTTGTTTACCATTGGTTATGATTTGTTTTTGAGTGTTTCCATTCGCGGGATTATTATCCCGAAAACGGGATTTTTAGACCTTGAGCGGGATTAAAACGGGATGCGGGATAAAACGGGATTTTCGGCTGTGACGACTATTTTTATTTTTTTCTACTCAATTTTAGAGAAAAACTAACTCAAATTGTTTAAACACTGTAGCAAAATATAATAGTGATGTTTAAACAACTTATAAAAATGATACGTAAAGTTTAATGCTAGGAATCGTACCAAAAAAATCATGCGGGATAAAACGGGATTTTTCACCGATTTAAAAGCGGGATAAAACGGGATTTTTCGACCCAATAAGCGGGATTATTTTTTTGGTCGTGTGGAAACACTGAGTTTGAATATTTGACATTGGCATTGGCTTGGCGTTATCCTAACTCCTAACCTTAAAACCTAACCTATAGGCACATATACATTTCATTTCATATACTGTTATTTTATTTTGTTGAAAGGAGAGAGACAGATATCCTTTTTCACGCAGCACTTAAGTGGCTGCCGTATAAATTAATCGTACCATGAAATTTTTTGTGGCCTGTTTCTTATCTTCATATTATTTATTTGTACAAATAAGTGCTGTGAACAAGTATTCCAAAGATGTCAACATTAACTTTGGGAAAACGAATTTTGACTTTGAGTATGATATCAATGTAAGAACTTTGGACAAACCTTTCAGAATGGCTAAACTCAATTTACTGTGGACAAAGGCCCAAGTGGTGAGTTAGTACGTAGTTTAAACTAGAATCCATCTTACCAAGGCTAGGCCTATTTTTTCTCTGTTTACAGTGTTTACTGCTCAGATCATTAGGTAGACATAATAACTAGGCCTAGGATCTCTTTCATAGCATTGAAAGCCAGTTGAGCGGAGCAATCACGTTTCATGGTTTTTAATAGAGCAATAAATAAAAATTGTATATAGATACGGTAGGGTACACTTCCATAACTTATCTGTTGGCACAAACAACAGAATGAAAATATCGATCGATATATTGATTATTCGATATATCGTACGGTTAGTTAGGTAAGGTTAACCTAACCTAACTAACCAAACGATATATTGAATTAAACAATCGAATACGGTAATCAATATTACTCATTCGGTTGTTTGTGCCAACAGATATGGAAGTGTACCCATACCGTATAATACAAAATACAAATGTTCCCTCACTCTGCACTGCTAGCCTTTACTAATTCCTTCACCACTTCCAACATTGTGGACCTGTTTCCCTCCCTTCCCATCGCATTTTAGGATTGTAGATACATTAATCTAACTGCCACAGACGGTTTCCACACTCCAGACTGTTCTCATTTACTACTTCCTTCACCACTTCCTACGTCTTGGACCTGTTTCCCTCCCTTCCCATAGCATTTTCATTTTAGGATTGCAGATACATTAATAAAACTGCCACAGACAGTTCCCACACTCCGGACTGTTCGCATTTACTACTTTCTTCACCTTTTTCAGCGTCTTGGACCTGTTTCCCTCCATTCCCATAACATTTTAGTAACTTAGGCCTACCCATCGCAGATACATTAATGTAAACTGCCATAAATAGTTGCCACACTCCGCACTGCAAGCCTTTACTACTTCCTTCACCACTTCCTACGTCTTGGACCTGTTTCCCTCCCTTCCCATAACATTTTAGTATTGCAGATACATAGTGTAACTGCCACAAACGGTTTTAACACTCCGCATTGCCAGCCTTTACTACTTCCTTCACAACTTCCTACGTGGTAAACTTGTTTCCCCCCTTCCCATATTATTTTAGATACAATTATCTAACTGCCACGCCACGAACGTTTTCCCAAACTCCGCACTTCTCGCCTTTACTACTTCCTTCACCACTTCCTGGACTTCTTGGACCTGTTTAAGTTTGCCATTTATGAGATGGATCCAAGAATGTGATTTACCGATGAATTGTTTAAGATAAAATGTTATTTAAACTTATTTAGCTACAAAAATAAAATTTCTTTAATTCTGTAGAAGAATACTTCCTAAAAATTATGTTTTATCTATGTCTGTACCTATTCAATCAGTGGTCATTGGGTCTTAGGCCTAAATGTAAACCTAAGAGTTTCTCTGTGGTATTTGATCAGTTGTCATCAACCAAATTTTTTTGTCTGTAAACTATGTTTAGGTTGTGGCTTGATTTTAACACATATTATGTTTCTTTGTTTTGTTTACATTTACGTCGTTATTTTGTAACCATTAACTTAAGACCAACGTTAAAATTTAAAAACTTTGAGTTACCAGGCATTATCAAAAATTGAATTTGGTGAAGTCTAAACCATCCAAACATTTGACAAAACAACCTTGGTAAGTTTGGCTAAAGTATGTTCAGCCGTTATTGAGATTAAGTGTTATAAAGATTGAATTGAAGTTAATCCCAATAAGCTTCGCTTCGCTCCGCCCAATAATGCTGCCTAATTTTCTTTCAAAGTAACATGGATTAAAGTTTTGGGTACCGGTATGTACAATTGCGCAGAGAAGCTGTGATAGGGCCTGTGATATTATCGGATTAAATATCAATATTTTATTTTATTTTAACGGACATTCCATTTTGTTTGATGTGGTGATATTTGATTAGGTACAAACTTTGTCTAGGCCTAATAGTAATGCAATGTTACAGTCCGAGATGGCTAATATTAAATAACAACTATAACATTTTGACACTTGGACATAGGCAACAAAAACAAATGACAACAAAAATATAGTAATATAGTAATTAACAACAATAACCAATAGCAAAAACAATAACAACGACGATCGCACAATGTACTAACCATAAATAACAAGGAAAACAGGCATGTACAAAAAATAAATATTAGCTTTTAAATAAGTAACGGATTCTGACTAGAGCAAATTATGAAGACTTTGTTTAATATCTACAAGGAACATGCAGTGTAATAAAAATATGATTTTAAAAAGAGACGAGAAAAAAAAGAATTTTGTAATTAATAAGATTTTTACCAACAAGGATATTGAGAAACAAACATAAATAAGCAGAACACACACACTATCTGCCTGCTCAGGCGTCGCCCTTTAAAGGTGCCACCTAACACAAACACATGCTACACCCACAAAATCCGTATGCGACCCTTAAAAGGCATCGCCAAGCACATCCGCACAACTCACTTTGCCACCACGTATCATCTGGGCTGTCGTTATTGCATGAGGCGTTGCTCTACTGCTCTTCTAAAACTCGCTAGGTTTGATGTTGAAGCAGTTAACGCTGGAGGAAACGGTGTTGCCGAGGCCTATTTCGATTATGATTTGGTTCGATATTTTACCATAGGTCTAGCCTGAATTAGACCTAAGTTAAATAACAAAAACATTAGCCTATTAACTAAACTTAATAAAGTGGTTTTTTGTTTTTTGGGTACCGGTAAGTTAAGTTATTATTGGTTTCATTCTAAATTTATACCTACCACTAAAAAAAATGGAAGAAAGTAGACCTATAGGCCTAACTTAGACTTACTTCCCTGTTAGGACCTGCTACTGGAGGGTGTTCTCAGAGAGCCCGGTGCAGCTATCAACTGTTTAGTCGTATTTTGAGACTTAAAACTATTTTGTATTTTGGGACTTGTAATATTTTGAGTGTATTTCTGAATTGTAGTTTGAGTCAATATAGGCCTATCGTGTTTTATTAGAAGCTGGGTTGATTTTTATCATTTAAATTCCCAAGCGAACCCCCACATTGGTGTTGTACCGGCAGCCACTTGACGGATACAACAGCCGTTTTTACCCAGAAAATCAGGTTTGAAAAATCGAAATTTATCAAGAAAAAAAATTGCGGCCCCAAGTCTGGCCCCTCCTAGGCCAAGGCCCCTGGCAACAGTTCCTGCCTGAGTCCGCCTGGAGGGCGGTTTTTTAAGTACCGGCAGTACCGGTAAGTTAAAAAGTTGTACACTTTCAACTTAAAACAATAAATGCAAAAAAGACTAATGTTAAGTTGTATGGTTGAACAAAGTGATCGGTTCAATGAAAAATCCTGTTCTAAGAATATTTTACATAAGTACCTAATAAAGAGTTATAGTTTCTTAACATAGTTATAGTTTTCTTAACCTATCATGTATTTGTTCCAGCGGTTAACTGAACCAAAATTAAAATCTTTACTGTCAGAACTCAAAATCCACGATAAGGAAGAACTTGCATTTAAAAAGGTTAAATCTGAAGGTGGTGACAAAGAAGGGTTAAAAGAAGCGGATATGCGAAAAAGACTGATTGGTAATTAGCATATTCACTGTGACTACAATCCATCCCCTTATCTTTTTACCAATTTTAACTTAGGTTATTAATAGTACAGCTTCAGTTCCATTATATGTGATGTGGAAAACAAAAAGGGACCTCTTGTCGAGGATGCAAAATCTTCAGTACAGCCTATATAAGTAAGGTCGAAAATATCGAAATTCGGGTTTTTATCGATTGTTATACCTCATTTAACATAGAACAGGACAGTATCGGTTAAAATATCGAATTGAAGATTTAAAAGGGCAAAATAAAAAAAAATTTTAGCCTCTGCACGGTCTGAGAAAAGGGACCTCTTGTCGCTCAATGTTATTTCGCCATAACGACAAAAGGTCCCATTTCTAATATTCAGTTTCTAAACAGACTTTAGTCCAAAAAATGAATTGCCCTGCATTCTAGTGGAAATTTAGAGAACTACAACAAATTCAGTTTACGGAGGACAAAATATCTCACAAATTTTGCGGTCCCGACAAGAGGTACCTTTTCTTATCTTATGGAGGAATAACATAGGGCCGACAAGTGGTCCCTTTTCTAAAGTGTGATTTTTACGACATGCTTCGATAAAACAATTATTCTTACATAGGTGTTGTAATCTTCTTATTTTAGTTACCATCCCAAGGAGCCTATTATTGCACACCCAGACTTGTTTTCTTTTAAAAAGTTTAAAAAGGTGTAGACCTATGTATTTAAATATAGTAAAACTAAACTAGAAATATAGGCTAGAAAGTATTAATATTTTTTTAACCAAATAGATTGCATGTTTTTAAAATTACGATGCTTCAGGAATAATGAGTACATATGGGCTGTTGGAGCATTTTGAAGAAGTTAATGACCCATCTAAGTACAAACCACACAAACCTCTTAGTGGACCTTCTGACACTCATCTCAACAAGAGTTTGTTCAAAGACAAGAAGCTTAACAAGCTTTGGGAGAAAGCAGAACGCTCGGGATTCACAGGTAGAGTTGGTAACTTACCTTGTTTTACCTAAAATGATGCAGACCTAGGTCCCAAAAAGCACAACTTTGGGTTAAATTTTATTATGATACTAGCTTTAGATAGCTGCTGTACCCGTGCTTCGCAAGGGGAAGGAAAATTTGTTTCTTTATCATTGAAATAGATTAAGAATAAATAATCATTAAGTTTAAGATTAAATACTACCACATAGTTGTGTAGAATATATTTAATTTCTTTGGATCTGCTGTCTAAAATTTTGAAATGAACATTTGGCAGTTCTGATTGGTTACACATTAAACACAAAGGCAAACATCTTGAAATTTTCTCATGGTTCCATGAAGACCTATTAGTATTTACTTTTGAAAACCTCACCCCAAGACCTTGGACATCTAAGTAGCGTAGCCCAAGATGAACTCAGGGAAGTGAATAGGCCTATGTCATTCCTAGATATGTGGACCATCTTTTTGCTTAATATTGGCTATATCAGTTTAGTAATTTAGTCACAACAGCTGCCTAGACAGACAGCCGATAACCCACAGTCAGTGGCGGTTCCAGGACCTTGGCTAACGAAGGTGTTCCACAGCAAGAGGGCAAAAGATTTACTATTTTTAAAGTAGTGTGGCGACGTTTTAAAGCAATTTTTACTGTTTAGAACTGTGTCCAAAAACCTCCGTTACATTTTTATGATAAAATCTATGTTTAAATTTATATATCCTGGGTCCAATAGGAAAGCCCCTATGGCCCCCCACCCTTGGAACCACCACTCCCCACAAAAACCTATGACCTACAACTAGCTCAATGGGTCCCTGTCATTCATTCACATGCGTTGCAGATGCTGTCTCATCCATCTGGCTACTATAGTTCGGCCGCTTAGAAAGCAACCTCCTCCAGCATTGGTTTAGCATTAGCACGCAGGTCGTTTTCTAAGCGGCCGAACTATAGTCAGTCATCTGTTGGTATGAGGTTTCATGCTTGTTACTTACATTATGCAGTAATACAGTAGGACCTTGATATTTTAAAGCTGAAATGTTAAGGGTAAATTTCAAGTTATGGTGTAAACGAGTTTCTAGTTATTAAGGTACAGTACTGAAAACTCAAGATCTACTGAGGCGTTGACTCTGACAATGATGTTGCACCACAACCTTAATAGACACAACTCAACTTTTACACACTTAACTTTTATAACCCGAGCTCAAGCTGTTTCCTATGGACTGAAGCGTAAACTGTAGAAGCAAGATCAACAATATACCTACTGTTAAATATTTAGTAATTCAACTAAGGACATTTAATAAAATATTTATTTAATAACATATGAACTATATACAGTCAAATATAAACAATTAATCAAGTAGTATTAACATTCAAGTCAAGTTTTTAGTTCAGTTATTGAAAGGATACAACAGCTGATATGATGACATCACTGTCCAAAGTTCACTACAGCACTTCGTACTAGTCAGTTCAGTTTAGACTCACCTCTCTCACAGTACACAGTGCTTACCTTTTGGTTTAGTTCATATTAAATATTTTAATCTCTCTTTCTCTCTTACCGCTCCAAGTGCATTATTTCATCATTTCTCATTTAAATATGGATTCCAAATTTATAGTACCAAGTGTCAAGCTAGGATCCAAGAAGATATTTTTATTTAAAGTAAATGTGTTGTAAATTTTCGTGTACAGTCCAGAATATTCATGAGTAGTGAATTGCTTTCTTTTTATTAATGAAGAAGAGTTTTAATTTAAATCAGTGAAGAATTACATACTACACAACAATAGTCATTTCTCAACATCATCTTTCATCTGTGGTCCTTCGATTCTCGTCACTCTGGCCAGAGCCATCGCTTCTCTGCTCATCTTGTTCCTGTTCTACCAAAACCCTAATGGATCTTCAGTTTTAGGATCTAAAGGTATTTCTCACAATTTTACCTCTTAATACCATATTTAACATGGTCCTTCGAGCCGGATGTTTCCCAGCCTATGGAAAATAATCTACTGTGACTATTAAGTTTTGTATTTATTTGAACTGAATAAATTAATTGAATAAATCTGTCATCAACATTAAGTATCATTAACAAGAGGATTAAATATTTTTGATCACATTATTATCAATTTATTAAATTGTTGCAGTAATTTGTGAAATAACACATACAGTTTTGTTGTCCCAGACAGAAAATTTTGTTCTCAGACTGTACTGTCTACAACTCCTGTATTTTCATGCATAGTTTGTCTATTCTCTATTGTGCATTATCGGGCTGCATCCTGTCTGCCCCCCTCTCTCCCCCCTGTAATGTGAAACAAGTTTCTCTCTTGTTGCTGAATATTCAGAAAATCATGGAAGTCATACCAACTTCACAGCTGATCAACACTAGCGCTGCTGATGGATAGAAATGAAAACTTAAATGTCATTATGCAAGACTTTGTTTATGTTTTCATAACCTCAATTGTTTGCTTACACTTTTAATTTTAAATTAAAGTGACAGAAGAATGTTTATTAATACGGATTGAACATTTAATTACAGTTTGTGTTTGAAATAACATGTTTTATTGAATTTCAAATTTATTATCTGGAAATAATTGCAGGTAGATATTTTCTGGGACTTAAACTTTTTATAGGCCTATACTATGGCTGAATATTTCTCTCTGATTTCAAGTTGACTAATATTAATATTTAATACAATGAATCCTGGCTGTCTTTAAATAAGTTTTGCTCATTATAAACTTATTTTAATCTGCATTTATTTTTATTTTGGAATTTTATTGAATTTAAGACTTATTCAAAATGAGGTTCTCAACTTTTGTGAAGCAATCTGAGCTTGTGCTAGCCAGGCTTAAGTCAATTGAAGCAAAAGTGCTTGCTATCGAAAAGGAACCTATCACTCCTCAACTTATAACAAAGCTCACTCTTTTGGATTCCACCGCTACAGCCAAAAATAATGATTTTGACAAATTAGTGAATAAGTTGTTCGGCACTGTGCCTTTACCTGAGGAATTAGATGAAAGTGAAAATATCACTACAATTTCAACATTACAAGATGAAATAAGTGATCTCTATGTGTCTATTCACTCTTTGTGTGTGAACTTGATACCTTCCCCAAGCTCTAACCAGTCGAGCCAGCCAAACCTGGATGATTCCAATGCAGCTATCAGCCAAGTAGCTACAACTAAGGTTAGTGTACAGCTTCCTAAACTTCAACTTGGTACCTTCTCAGGTCAACATGAAAAGTGGATGGCGTTCAAAAATTTGTTTGAAAATACTATTCATAAAAATGATAGTATTTCTGGTGTTGAAAAAATGAGTTATTTGTTAAGCTGTCTTGAGGGAGAGGCACTTTCAGTTGTTAAAACATCCCTATGACTAATGCTAATTATTTTATTGCATGGGAATCTCTACTTAAAAGGTATCAGAATACAAGATTACTAATCTCTCTTCATGTCAACAATGTGTTAGACTTACCAGTTCTTCACAATCCCTCAGTGAAGCAACTTAGAAGGTTTTTGTCTGTTTTAAATGAAAACATTGAAGCACTTAAAGCTCTAGATGAAGAAATTTCTCAGGAAAATTTAATTTTGACCTCTCACTTGTTAAGAAAATTTGATTCTGATTTTCGCCATCATTTTGAACAGAGTCGAAGTGATAACTCTGTAACTCCTAAGTTAGATGAGTTAACCAAGTACATTGAGTCTCACTGTGTAAATCTTGAAGCAGCTAATCTTACTAATGTGGGATCATCTCTTAAGGGTACCTTAGGCCACCACACTCAAGTAAAACCCCCTCAGCGCTCAAATAAATCGGCGCTTATTGCAACTCCTCGCACTGTTTGTACATTTTGCGCAGGTGCAGATCACAAAATGCTATCAATGCAAAGGTTTTCTTAAATTGACTTCACAAGAAATGTATAATTTTGTTAAAGGCAAAAATTTGTGCACCAACTGTCTTGGCGATAAGCATAAGGTAAAGGAACGCAATTCATGGCGTACATGTTCTACGTGTAAAAGAAAACATCACTCTCTTTTGCATTTTATGGATTCTGAAAATAATCCCTCTCCTAATGTGTCTAAAGGTAACACAGACAAACGAGCTCCAAGTTCTGACTCAAATAAAAATGAATCTGGTTTTGTTGGTTTGACAAATACAGAGAACACAGTTCTTCTTGCCACTGCTTTAATTGTGGTAAAATCAAGCGAAGGTAAGACCCTAGTTTGTAGGGGAGTTTTAGATTCTGCTGCTCAGTCTACCTTCATTACTCAAAGATGTGCTCAGTCTTTAGGGATTAAGCGCTCTCATGCTAATAAAACGCTTATTAATGGCATCTCGTCTGCTCAGGTGAAAACAAAAGGGTTAACTCATGTCACTCTCCAGTCCCTTAGTGGATATGTATTGGCAAGCTCTCACCCTGTCTTCATTTTGGATAATATCACTCCAGATTTACCTCGAGCTAAGATCACTCCTGAAGTTCGCTCACAGATGCAACATTTAATGTTATCCGATCCTACTTTTGATAAACCCGCTCCTATTGATGTTCTAATTGGAGCTGACCTTTTTGCCTCCTCTGTGAAAGGCCAGTTTTTGTCACTTGGTGAGAATATGCCTGTAGCAATTGACACCATTTTTGGATATGCGCTCTTAGGATCGACCCCTGTCGCCTCAACTTGCAAAAATTCATTTCATGGATTAGTCACACTCTTAACCACCAATAGTTTGGATCTTCACACCTCTATCCAACAGTTTTGGGCTGTAGAGGAACCCCCTCTTACAAGCAAGCAATCCTTAGCCGAAGAAAAATGTGAAAAACATTTTGTATCTACGCACTCTCGCACTCCTGAAGGAAGATATATTGTCTCTTTGCCTTTCTCAGACGATCCGTCAACATTAGGCAACTCGAGCAAAATGGCAAAATCCCTATTCTGGTCTCTGGAGAATAAATTTCGTTCTAATCCTGATTTCAAGGAAACTTATGTTGATTTTATGAGAGATTACTTGTCCTCGGGACATATGACACTTTGTCAGTCACCACGTCTTAAAAAGAATCCTCATTACTACCTTCCACATCATGGAATTTTTAAAGATGGAAAATTAAGGGTAGTATTCAACGCATCAGCACCTACATCAACATCTCTGTCTCTCAACAGTATTCTTCATCAAGGACCAAAACTCCACAACAACATATGTGACATCATTCTCAACTTTCGCCGACATGCGGTTGTTTTTTCATGCGACATCAAGCAGATGTTTCGACAAGTCCTTGTAAAGGAATCTGATCAGATATTTCAACTTATTTTCTGGAGAGAGAATGATAAAATGCCTCTTCAAATCTATCAGCTAGCGACTGTCACTTATGGGCTCACATCATCGCCCTACTTGGCAAATCGTGTCATTCAACAACTCATTATTGATGAAGGAAAAAATCATCCTCTAGCCGCAACTGCTCTAAAGGATCAGATTTATGTCGATGACGCCCTATTGGGTAGTAATTGCGTAGAAAACGCTCTTTTGTTGAAAAATGATGTGGTTCAGTTACTCAAAAAAGGAGGTTTCGAGTTAAGAAAATGGTCTTCGAATAATCCATTACTCTTACAGTCGATCCCTGAAGATCACAAAGAAAAACCTATTGGTTTTCGAGCTCCCGAACAACCAGTTCATAGTGTTTTAGGACTTAAATGGATTCCTAATGAAGATGTTTTTTCTTATTCTGTAGGAACTCAAAATATTAAGGAAACTCCTACAAAAAGAATTGTTTTAAGTGTGATATCACAGATCTATGACCCGTCAGGATGGTTAACTCCTGTAACCTTCTGGTCCAAATCCTTCATGCAATACTTATGGACACTTGGTCTCGATTGGGATGAACCCCTAGACGACAGCGTTATATCAGTTTGGAACAAGTTCGCCAATGAACTTCCATATATTGAAATGCTCAAGATACCTCGCTACGTGGGACTTTCTTCAGCTAAAGATATTCAGCTACATGCTTTTTCTGATGCAAGTGAAGCAGGATATTGTAGTTGTGTTTACCTGAGAGTTGTAAATTCACAAGGAATTATATCGACTTATCTTCTGATAGCGAAGTCAAGAGTCGCACCTCTGAAGCGTATTTCCATACCTCGCTTGGAGCTCTGCGGAGCACACCTGATGTCTAAGCTCCTAAATTACTGTATACAACTTCTCTCACCTCACTGCAAGATTAGTTCATACACAGCTTGGTGCGATTCCACAATCGTGCTTTCATGGATTGGCATGCCCTCTTATCGACTCAAGGTTTATGTGTCAAATCGAGTTGCAGAAATACAGGAAAACATCCCACCTTCATTTTGGCAACATATTTCATCACTAGAAAATCCAGCGGATGTTGGGTCAAGGGGTACCGCCCCACAAGATTTGATTAACCACACACTTTGGTGGAATGGACCTGTCTGGTTGTGTAACTCTGAAGAAAATTGGCCAAAGTCTGTCTGTAAATCTTTACCTGAAGAGTCTATCCCTGAAACTAAGATTCTCACAGTTAACACTCTCTCTGCTGTTCCGGATGAACCATTTTCTCTCCTCACTCGCTTCTCATCTTGGACAACACTACTTCATGTTTCCGCATACCTGCTGCGCTTCATTCATAACACCAGAAATAAAGTTAAACAAATTGGGAATTTAACTTCTCAGGAGATAAAAGAGGCTCATAACCTGATTTGTAAATTGGTTCAACGAGAATATTTTTCTGAAGAAATCTCATGTTTGAAATCCAATAAACCTTGCTCTGTACGCATTAGACGCCTAGCTCCTTATCTGGATAAAGATGGCCTCATTCGAGTAGGGGGAAGAATAAACAAGGCTGATATCTCTGAAGATCACAAACACCCCGTCTTGCTACCTAAAGGTCATAGGTTAGTTGATATTTTGATTGACCACCATCATGTCTTATATTTGCACTCTGGTCCAACTCTAACTCAGGCTATGCTGGCAAACAAGTACTGGATTCTCAGTGCTAGAAGCTTAATAAGATCTAGGATCTTTAAATGCATAAAATGTTTCAGATGTAAACCTCCTCATTCTTCTCCACTCATGGGGGAATTACCTATGAATCGAGTTACACCTTCAAGGCCATTTTCCATATCTGGTGTAGATTATGCAGGACACTTCTTTGTGAAGCAACATCTACTAAGACGAGTTCAACCTATCAAGGTTTATATTTGTATATTTATTTGCTTCTCTACTAAGGCGGTACACATAGAAGTAGTAACCGACCTAACAGCGGATGCCTATTTAGCCGCTCTTACCAGATTTGTCTCCAGACGAGGAATCGTTTCAGATATTCACTGTGACAATGCTACAAATTTCACAGGTGCATCCGAAAAACTCAGACGCAACTTTGAAAATTTAATCAAGGATTCCACAGTACAATGCTACGCTGAGAATTTCAATATTAAATTTCACTTCTTACCTCCACATGCACCTCATCAGGGAGGCCTTTGGGAGAGGGCCGTCAAAAGTGTGAAATTTCACCTAATAAGAGTCATTGGACAACAGACCCTGTCACTGGAAGAGTTTTCGACTTTAATCACCCGTATTGAAGGAATGATGAACTCTAGGCCTATAACTCCTCTTTCTTCTGATCCCTCGGACCTAGAAGCTTTGACGCCAGGTCATTTTTTAGTAGGTGGTCCTCTTATGACACCTCTTGAACCTGACTTGCGTAGCATTCCTATCAACCGATTAAAACGCTGGCAGTTAGTCCAACAGTTCAGTCAACATATCTGGGCTCGCTGGCAGAAAGAGTATCTGTACACTCTTCAAGAGAGAAATAAATGGGTCAACCCCAAGAAGAATATTAAAGTCAATGACTTGGTTGTCATTCATGAAGACAACTTGCCTCCACTCTCCTGGAAGCTTGGACGAGTTCTCTCCGTTTCACCTGGTACTGATGGAATAGTACGGGTCGTGCACCTGAAGACCGCAAGTGGACACCTCTCTCGTCCTGTGACAAAGGTGTCTGTCCTTCCTATGGAATAGTGAAGAGGAGTTACCACCCCCCTTTTTTATTGATTTTCTCATTTTTTGTGTTGTTTTCAGAACCCAGGGGTTCAGGGGGGGCCGGTATGTTAAATATTTAGTAATTCAACTAAGGACATTTAATAAAATATTTATTTAATAACATATGAACTATATACAGTCAAATATAAACAATTAATCAAGTAGTATTAACATTCAAGTCAAGTTTTTAGTTCAGTTATTGAAAGGATACAACAGCTGATATGATGACATCACTGTCCAAAGTTCACTACAGCACTTCGTACTAGTCAGTTCAGTTTAGACTCACCTCTCTCACAGTACACAGTGCTTACCTTTTGGTTTAGTTCATATTAAATATTTTAATCTCTCTTTCTCTCTTACCGCTCCAAGTGCATTATTTCATCATTTCTCATTTAAATATGGATTCCAAATTTATAGTACCAAGTGTCAAGCTAGGATCCAAGAAGATATTTTTATTTAAAGTAAATGTGTTGTAAATTTTCGTGTACAGTCCAGAATATTCATGAGTAGTGAATTGCTTTCTTTTTATTAATGAAGAAGAGTTTTAATTTAAATCAGTGAAGAATTACATACTACACAACAATAGTCATTTCTCAACATCATCTTTCATCTGTGGTCCTTCGATTCTCGTCACTCTGGCCAGAGCCATCGCTTCTCTGCTCATCTTGTTCCTGTTCTACCAAAACCCTAATGGATCTTCAGTTTTAGGATCTAAAGGTATTTCTCACAATTTTACCTCTTAATACCATATTTAACACCTACTGTCAATACACAAATATGCAGCGATTGTAATTATCTTATCTTTACAGTGAAGCATAAGTCTTATCTTTTTTCTCGGTACAAACCAAGTTGACAACAAAATATAGGATCAGATCAATAAAAAAACAAGCCTACTAGATACAATAAGGAAAAAGGTTACTGTTTTTATTTTAATTAGTTACTAGGTACTATATAAAACTCAAAACCACAATTATTTGGTCATACACAGAAGTGTATTTTTTTCTATATCGCAACAGTAATATAGGTTAAATGAGATAGGCCTACTGGATTTTCTGACTTACGTCTCTAAACATGGTGTAACAATTCACCTTTAGCCTTGTGCCTTTCGCGGTTTTTCAAAATGAAATATTCCACATTCAGTACCTCTCAGTAATTTTGGTCTTAGTTAAATAAACCAGTTCCTTATAATTTTATAACATTTTTTTTTAGCCGAGGAGTTGCAAGCATTGAAGGAAGAGTTTAGTCATCATCAAGATAAAATAGACCAGTATTATTCGCTATTGAACGAAGTAGAAAAGAAAGATAGTGACGTTCATGTCAGTAAGTATGCTGATTTTCAATGTATCTTGCACTTCAGTTTCTAATGCTGATCCATCACACACTCAGCAATTAAAAAGAAATAATTAAGGTGCTACATTTGGTTATAGATTAACTTTACAGATCCTAAGTTAATTGTTTGTATTACAGTATTAAAGTACAGTGGGGACTTTATCCTGTTCAGGTCAACGGTCAACCAAACTAAACAAGAGTAAGTTGTGTAGTAATGTTAGTTACCGTAGTATATAGTCCTCGCCACCCTAACTTGGAGCAGCCCAAGGCCGCACTCCGTATATCTAGTGCGGCCTTGGGCTGTTTCAAGTTAGGGTGGCGAGGACTATAGCTGTGAGAAGGATGATGGGTGAGAGGCTCTAGACACTAGTGGTGATAAATAATTCCAACAGAAATTAATTCTTAAAATTACTGTACGAAATAACAAAAGCAACAGTGACACGGGTGAAGGTTCGCGAGCGCATGGTCATCCCACTCACCACACTAATAGACATGATATTTTATGTTCAACAGAAATTGCAATTTATATAACAGTAAAATATAATGGTTTTATGTTTTTTTTAGATTCTATTGATGAGAAACTAGACCGTTTTAACATGATCGATGATAAGGTAGAGCAAGGAAATGAGGAAAGCAACTACATTGAAAAAGCAAATGAACTAAGGTATGATTAATAGATTTAGTGAACTATATCCCCTATTTGATAATTTCTTTGCAATTCTACCAAGTGTAGTGTTTTAATTTTGTATGGTTTCCAAAGCCAAGTTAAGTTATTCTGTTTAGTCAATTTGTCACACATTTAATGGAACATTTTTGAGACCTCCATAATCGTTGGATTTCTAATTCCTTTATTCACTAAAATCCCTAATGAAGTTCTTCTGACTTAAAAAAAGCTGCTCTTAGTCTTATATCAATTGTTAAACAATCATCTTAAGTTGCTTACATTTACCAAGATGATTGTCTTAGAATGGAGTGAGATGCCTTTTTAAGCTTTCAAGGCCAAGATGTTTTTTTTTTAGCCAGAACTATTCATCAAAAGTCCAAATGAACCCCATCATAATCCAACCCAAATGAATACTCAACATCTAGGTTCAAATCAAATTTGAACTCATCAAAAAGCCAATGACTAGCGACTTTGCTCAGGATTAAATTGGTGACTTTTTAAACATGTGGCGAGCACTGTAACCAATCAGATATTTTCTTTAAATGCTATAATTCACTTTTAGTATACAAAGGCAAATGACATTTTACTTGATAATTCTAGGATTTAAGAAGTATGATTTCTAAGTTGTGGATATTTTGATTTGCCAGAGATAAGCACAGAGACCTCAGAGATGGCTATGACCGACTGCATCGTCTATCCGTCAAAGGTCCAAAGAGTAATGAGTTTGTGGAGCCTAAGGTGCAGGGGCTGTGGAAACTTGCCACGGAAACCAACTTTACTGCTGATGAATTGGAGTCTCTCAAGGTAATTAAACCATACAATATAAGCTGTTTCATTGTTGTGGCCATAATAAAAATCTTGCTTTAAATTCTTTTCAAATCAGTGACTACTGAAAATATCGAGTGAAAACTGCTGTTTGCTTCACAGGTAGAACTAGCTCACTATGAGAAAAGGCTTTTAAAACTGAGACACCTGCAAGTAGAGGCTGCGTTGGCCGCTGACTCTCGCAAGAAGATGGCCGGAGACAAACTGACGCTGAGCGACGTCAATGATGAAACCATCAAGAAACAAGCTCGAAAAGTAGAGAAACTTCATCTTGATCTTGAGGCTCGCATCATGCAGAAACACATTGAGCTGTAACTGGTGATACAGGGATGTGCCAACTTTGACTCTCTTTATAACTAATTTTGCTGATTTATTTACCATTCTATTGTGGCTTTGTTTCTAGAACTCTATTCCTCCAGTGTCATCTAGTTCAAATCCAGTTAAGATTGTAAGAGAAAATTTAGTTCCAAGGCGTTGTAACGGTGTGTATCTGGTGCAATGCGTAACGGACTACTTTTTCATTTCAATCAGTTGTAAGAAAGTGTTCATTGCATTTATCCTTGATCATTTGACACAGAAACAATTGAGGCTTTTTAGCGATTTTCCATACAGGGAATTAAAATCAATGTTATTTATAAAGGAAATGAATCTAACAATTTTAAGGGAATATTTTAGTGGAAACCAGCCAGGGTAAATGGAAATTCACTATTCTGCAAGTTTGCTGCAGTGAGGGTACTGTATTGAGTTTTGACAAATATTTCTAGCTAAAGAAAGCTGGTTTTAGTCAGTTGATAACAAAGCAACACAAGGCATTTCAATTCATTGTACACCTTTAGGTTTAATACACCCATTTGGGTCCCCATGTCAATTTGTAATGCAGTTGCCATCGTTGAAATATTAAATTAGTCCAGCTTTTAGAACCGATATAGGGAATTCTCTAATACTCAGCATGTTCTTACCTTTTACAGATTTTATTCTGAATAGGAGTTACGGTGTGCTCTGAACTACCATCATTATCACTTCACTCTGCTAACAGCCAATCCTGATTGTCAGGACATGAACCTCCAGAATAAAACTTCCCCTTAACCCATGAACCAGACACACCTTTAGTCTAACCTGACCCATGATCCAGACATAACTTTGTATAACCCATGAACCAGACACAACTTAGTCTAACCCATGAACCAGACACAACTTTGTATAACCTATGAACCAGACACAACTTTGTATAACCCATGAACCAGACACAACTTTGTATAACCCATGAAACAGCCACACTTTTCTATTATTAGATTTTTACGAGAGTTAATTATTGTGCTGCAACTAAATGTTATGAAATTATGAAAATTACAACACCTAACTATTAGACCATCACCTGTGCGTATGGTCTGTTTCTGCAATGCCTTTTGCTTTACTATTAACCATTCTGAGAGCAACTGAGCTTTAGTAACCCCCATTACTACATTTTTACATAACAATATTACATTGCCGAGTTGTGAAACAAAATTTGCAGTTTTATTATAAACCTTGTATGTGACTAAATATAAAGGTTAGTTAAAGTGATCTTAGATGAAGTTGAGTGATTGAGGCAACTAAGTACAACCATAGATAAAACATACTCCCTTAGTAGATTTCCCATCCTTGCGGAACAGCTGAAGCCAATTTTATTGTTATGTTAGTTCTGACTGGGATGCTGTAGAGGTCTAGTTTTGTTTACAATTTGTTTCTTGTTATTTCAGTCATTTAAAAACCGGTTTAAATAAATAAAACAATATAAATAACTCGTCCTCTAGTTACATAACCAAACAGTAAAGCACAAATCATGAAGTTAACTCTAAAATAATGAAACCAAATTTTGTCGACACTAGCAATCAGTGTCGGACATGAACTTAACACAAGAAACAAGCTTCAAAATTTACAATGTGATGAAAAGTCCACTTGTGTTGGTTAGTCTATGTGTATTGTGTATGTTGTATCTTGAACCACTAAAAAATTGCTAAGTGTGTTATCCTCATTATTTAGATAACATTTTACCATTCTTTTGAGATTATTCATACTTTTTATAGGTGCTTTTTTAATTATATATTTAATTTAAGTATTGTTATTGGTTAAGTTGACTGTTTGTTAATGTGTACCATGTTAAGTTAATTTGTTGAGGAATAATGAAAATATGAATTTTAATGGGTTTACAAATATTTTCTCAAAGAATCAATTTTTTTTCAGTTTTCCTGTTAAAAAGTAAAGAAAATCAAGTAAGCTGTTGTACTGTAAAACAAATTAGTACTTCAAATTATCAAATTCAAGTGACATAAGAACAAGAAATATAGTGTAATTATATCCAACTTGAACAAATTTTATATTTTTGTTGTGAAAAACTTCACTCGCATAATATTGTTTGTTACAAATTGATGGCAAAGGTCCAAATTTGCTTAGGCAAGCCTTATAATTTACCCTATATACTGTTGTTGCATTCTAAATAGCATTGCCATTACTTAAAAAAAGACCTACATTCGTAACATAACCTCTTTACTGTATTAAAAAGTGTTCCGATTCCAAAACACAAAATTTTAGAATTTATGTATTAAGATCTGCATTTATCATTCATTAATGTATTTTAATATTTTTATAACAATAAATAATGTGATAAACGTCATCTGTGTCTTTTATTCCATTGATTGGTGAAATAAATTCAAATTTCTTTAAATATATTTTTGTTCTTTTCACTTTTTTCTTCTTGATCGAGGGAGTTGTCACAGTCGCGGGAGATGATTACTGAAGTCGCATAGTCTGCAAGTTACTCTCGCGGGTGTTATCACGGTCGTGGGAAATGATTACTGATGTCACAGAAACTTCAGGTCATGCTGCTTATCAGACCTTTTGGTCGTTCTTACCATTGAGATAAATAGATTATAACTGGTAAACTGGAGTCACTACTGTTTGGTTGAACATTAGAGACAAATTTGCCCTTATTTTTGCTTGTTTGTTTTCGGTGTTTTGTGTTGTTAGGTTGGCCGTGTGATCGGTTGGTGGGATTCAGTCAAATACGTCAATCCATTTCATTCTGACCTAACCATGCTATTTGTTTGGGGTTATCCGTTATTTGATGGACTTCAACTTATTTAAGTTATTGAACGTTAAAACCTATGTACCTATTTAAAGTTATTTTGAAACATTATTAATTGTTTTTGATACTAAATACTAACTTATTTTGCTATTTTCAAGCTATGATAAATGGCGAAAATAGTAAAGTTTTCTTGTTAGGAGATATTGGCTTAGGCTTGGGTTTAGCCCATAGAGATGAATGGTTTAGCCCTATGGAACTAATAAATAAATAATAATAGTAACGTAAATAAATAAACTTATAATGGAATCATGATGTTGACATATTTTTATTTACTATCAGCAAAACAACAGGATGACGCCCTCTTGGCTCTAGTAATTTGACAAGTCCCACCAACCGATCTCCCGGCCAACCTAATACGAAACTCTAGATAAAAACCAGCATAAACAGTGGTACGTTTTTTAAACACAGTAACCCAGAGTGTTGACTCCAGTTATTATTATAGCTCAGTGGTTCTGACCATGGCCCAGTCCCCGTCATGGTTGGATATGAGGGGTTCTACTGTATTCAATTTTGATGAAATTTAGTTAAAATGTGCATTTATTCAAATGAGATTGCAAACTAGTATGATTGGGCCATGGGGATGGGTGTGTGGGATGAAAAATTGATTGGTCTCATTTTTGGCCCTAAAAGCATGGAATTTCCCAAATTTTCTCTAAAGCAAACTATAGACCTGAGCACAATTATTTAATATATTGAAGTGTTTTATAGCCTACAGTTAATAGTTACTAAGAAAAAAAAATAATTACTGTACCATGTTATTCTTATGGAGTAAACTCTAATAGTTTGCTTGTTTATGAATCTATTTTGATCAAATTTGGCTTATTGGTTTAATTCATCCTGGAAGCTATTACATTTCATAAAAAAATAAAATACCTAAATAAAATAAATGTTTTTTGATAGAAAATAAATCTGACAATTTTAAGAGATCAATTTGAGTGAAAATCCAACCGGGCAAATAGGAATTCGGTTAGTCTGCAGGTTTTGCTTTGGCGGGGATATTTTAGTAGCGATTCCTTTAAGGTGTATACCAAGTTGAGGCTTACAAAGAGCTAATGAATACCAAAAAAACTTCAAGGTCAAGGAAAAAGAAATTCATAGCACAGTGCTTAAAGATATATTTTAAGTCTTCATGTACAAGCAATATTACATAATAAATCCAATAGTAAATTCCCATTTCTGGTTGAGGGGCCCAGTGCAGGCAGGCCCCAGCCAAACCCTGACTGCCTATAGCAGTACTCAAACTACTATGGTATTATATTATGAATGTTTAGGTTGAATAAGCTAGATTCTCATTGCGTTTGCAACATCGGTTGTCTTGTAACTCTCGTGGCTTCAAGATCCCATACTTAACACGGAAGCGTACACACAACTACCGGATTAGGAGTAAATAAAAATCAATGGATGCGGGTTGGAAGAAATCAGCAAGTGTTCAGTAGTTGCATGACGTTCTTCGCAGGGAAACAGGCTAGGCCCCGATTCCAAGGAGTATCGTATTTATTTACACCAAATCCAAAGATAATAATAATAATAATGATATAATAAAAATTCTTCAAAAATTATACACAATTCTGCTTCGCTACTATGAAACGACACAGTGAAAAAGTAAATATCGGGAACATCGAGACGTATTGAGGGCGTTCTATGCGAACAAAATAAAAGACAAAGCGATGTGAGCTATTGAAGGATGATGCCATACATGCTACTGTCTGTAAAGTTGAGCATTACATCTAGTGGCTCCACTTGGTCCAACCCTGCAACAGAAAGCACTGCAATCAGGACAGAATAACTAGAAGGTTTCTAATGGTCTAATAGTTCTTACTAACAATCTGAGTGACACTTCAACAGACTAATTAAAACATACAGTAGAGTGCCAATTACCCGAATGCCAGTCATCTGAATCGTCGGTTAACCGAAATCATTGCCAAAGACGTAAAATTTAAATTTACTGCCACGCCAACATTTCGAAAGCACCGGCAGGAGCGTACACGGCACAACGCTTCTCGCGAAACTCAGCGACACGACTTGGTGACCAAGCTGTCACCAACATCAGTCCCCAGATAAGATCTTGATCTTCCCCATTGTCTTGAAGTTTTGGAGACACATACAGTTTGTCATGTGTAAGTGTAAACTTCGTGTATGTGTCTCCAAAACTTCAAGACGCACCTAATAGTGGGAGATCAAAACCTTATATTAGGACTGATGATGGTGATTTAACCCTTCCAGGGCTAAATTAAATGAAGGGCTGGAGCTTAATTATTTTTTGCCAAAATTAAAAACTAAAGTGTTTGCGTTTTGTATTTATTTCACTTGAAATAATTCATGGACCATAAAAAGATTTTCCTTAGGGCTGAACTAATTTTTGGACAAAAGTTATGAAGAAAATAAAATTTGATATATCCGTCTTTGGCCCACAAAAAACATAAGGTGGACGGATATATCCGTCTGCCGCCCTCAGCGTTAATCACAAAATATGAACACTGCCAATAATCTTGAGTATTTTTGTGGGCGGCAGACAGATGGATATATTCGTCAACCTTAGGCTATTCCTTCCCTTGTTTTATTTTTTATCCATAAAATGTATCTATCTGTCTGAAGTAAATCTAAACCACTCAGTTCCGCTCCCATGTCCTCAACCCCTTTCCCCGCCAAGACTTCCACTACGTAAAGACTGTTCTTCAGGTCCATCATATCCATCACATTCCATACTATTATTTTCACTGCCAAGTATAAAACCCCCCTCAGACATACTTTTATTAAGCATCTCAATAACATCTTCAAATTTCAGATCGTTTGCATTAGCTCAATAACATAAAAATAAAGTACAGAACACAAAATGTAAACATCATTTACTAACAACCATGTGTGAAGTGACAGCAATATTTACTTACGCACACTCTATGGTGCAAAATAGCCGAAACAGCTGCGGCAATCATTATTGCCAACCACAAAAACAAATAACCTATTTATAATGCAGTGTAATGTTTATTAACGTATTATAAACATTGTATTTCAATTTGTTTTTTGGATGGAAATCGTCCAATTCGTCTTTAGCCCAGAAAAGAAATTTCTCTCGTCGGATATATACGTTTTCAGCCCGGAAAGTAAACAAAGATTGACGGATATATCCGTCCATAGCCATGGAAGGGTTAACTTCGCTGAAATGCATCTCCTGCAATAGGACACATCAGGATCGACCTGCAGACACAGGTAATGCAAACTTTCATTGAAGAAATACAGCCTTTTTATGTTGATGTCTGATAATACTGATAATCCAAAAATTGATTACCCAAACGTCTCTGTCCAAAATGTTTGGGATAATCAACGCTCTACTGCATTATATTATTTCTTGACTATAAAATAATAAAACCTATTACTGTACAAAATAATTTGTAAGTTTATGTTTCCTTTAGGGATTTAGTATTTTATAAAGAGAAAAAAATTAAATCTCCTGAATTAAAGGAAAAAAACAGTAAGTAGAACTTTGAGTTAAAAATTTAAATAAACGGTCTCGCAAACTGACACATACTTTCTCCCATCAGCTTATCAATCACTCTTAATGGGCAAGAGCAGTTACAATTATGAGTAATTTCTGGGCAAAAATCAAATCTCAGTCAGTTGCTACTAGGATCATCGAAATCATTACGACGGCTTGCATCA